CTCACCAGGGTACTTTCTAACGTCGCCGTTTCTGACTGAAAATATTGTCTTACAGAGAACATTTTGGACACAAGCATCCCAAGTACTCCGACACGCTGCTAGATTATGGATTTTACTTATTAAATGTGGACAACATATGCCAATCGGTTGCTATTTACCAGGTACGTAGAGCGATGCGCTACAGGAGTATGCTCTTGTTTTCAGGGATGTTATTTAATTCAATCTTGTCTGATGTACAAATCCCAGACAGCTCTGGATATCCGACAATCGGTCTTTGGGGGGAAGAACATCCATGTTGCCACAGCCCATGAAGACCTAGCCTACTCCTCATACGTGCACCAGTACAGCTCTGGGAAATTTGACAACGCTCTGTGAGTGCATCTTCTAAACTCGGCTAATTACATTCCTCACGAGCTGCCTTGTAAATGTAGTCCAACACCAGAAGTCAGACTCTGGTGTTTGGGAATGTGTATGCAGCTGCACATATCAAAGTTTAACTGTACACACGGGCAGACGTAAAGATGACTGGAGATGCCTGTTGTTGTGTAATTAATCATGTGATGCTCCTCGTGTATACAAAGGCTGTGATTCAGCATTGCCCAATGGTGAGACCTTTGATCCACTTTAGGACCGTATGAGCTGCAAAACAACTTTGTTCAATGGAAACGATATTCTTGGAAGTGTTTGTCTCCAATATGTAGAGTTACAGCCAAGTCTGAGTTACAGCGCTGTGTTTGTCCCTCAGATTCCATGCAGAACGTGCCATAGACATCATAACTCACATTCTGCCTGAGGACCATCTTCTGCTGGCCTCCTCTAAGAGAGTCAAAGGTAAGGCAGGCAAAGTGGACAGTAGTATTATGCTCGTGTGTGTGACTCGCTGCTTGTAATAAAGTACCTTGAAAGAACAATTTAAAACTTGTTCTTTGCTAAGTTGTCTATTTGTAGGTCAAACTTTTGTGGTTTGACAGATTTAAAAAACATTCAACAAGTGAGTGAAAAAGCAGCCGATGTCCAAACTAGAGATGGCACGATACCACTTTTTTATGTCCGATACCGATATCATA